TTTTCACGGTAGAACTGTTTCCTAACATATTTAACATCTCCTTCCTGGATATTTAGATCTCTAAAAGATTTTTCTGTTATAAATAATATTTTACAGAGCATCATTATAAACACATCTTTGTATAAATAATATGGTAGTTTTCAGCAAGATATCTTCTTATAAATAGTTTGGTTAAACTTTTTTGTTATTATTATTTTGAGACGGAGACTTGCTATGTTGCCCAGGCTAGTCTTGAACTCCTGGGCTTAAGTGATTCTCCTGACTCAGTTTCCCAAGTAGCTGGGAGTGTGTGTCACTGCTGTCCCTTAGCTTTCAAGGAGTTATCAAGATTGATTCACTTCATGCTCTTTTTTTTTTTTTTAACGGTCCTGGGGTTTGAACTCAGGGTCTACACCTTGAGCCATTCCACCAGCCCTTTTTTTGTGATGGGGTTTTTTGAGATAGGGTCTCAAGAATTATTTGCCTGGGCTGCCTTCAAACCACGATCCTCCTGATCTCTGCCTCCTAAGTTGCTAGAATTACAGATATGAGACACCTTCTGCCCAGCCTACTTCACACTCTTAACAGATCTGAATATATTTTCCTAATAGCCAGTGAAGTTAAATATTTCTTCACATGTGCATTCAACATTTAGGGTTATCTTATGAATGACCTTTTGGGAATTTCCTATTATATTCTTTCCTCTTCCTCCTCTTTCTTCTTCTCCTCCTCCTCCTCCTCCACCTCCTTCTCTCTCTCTCTCTCTCTGTTTCTTTTCCTGGGGGCGGGGTGAACTTAGGGTATTGCATGTGCTAGGCAGGCAAAAGCAGGCATACTATCACTTGAGCCACTCCTCCAGCCCTTTTTGCCTGGGTTGCAGTCCTCCTATTTGAACTTCCCTGTGTAGCTGGAATGGTAAAAGTAAGCTGCCATGCTCAGGCATTGGTTGAAATGGGGGTTTCTTGAACTTTTTGCCCAGTCTGGCTGGAACTTTGATCCTCCCAATCTCCACCTCTCTAGTAGCTAGGATTAAGGGCCTGAACCACTACACCAGCCTTTTCTTTTCCTTTTCTCCTTTTATATTTTTAGTGCTGGGAATTAGACTCAGCCTTGTGTATACAGGCACACCATTTACTACTGAGCTCCACTCCCAAGGCCCTCAGCCCTTCCTGCTATGTTATTAATTTGTAGCTTTTCTTCATATATTTCAGACATTTACTATGTGTTGCAAATAGTTTCTCTCACTGGTTGTGTGCTTTTCATTTTTGTGTATGGTGACCCTTGCCTCTACATCGTCTCATCAAAGTTTTGTTATTGAACCCAGGTCCAGAAGCTCATCCCATGAAAAAAACCAATGTCTGAGAGATGAGTGTTGGGGAGAATGAAGGGCTTTATTCAGTGGCTAAAGAATGGAGAAGTGGGAATTTTGCTCACAAAGCAACTTCTCCACTCTTAGGAGTTGAGAAATCACAGACATAACAATAATGAGAGACACAGAGATAAGGTAATAAAGGTAAGAACATTCACATCTTGAAATGGTTAAAAGACTTAGCCAGAGGGAAGCCATTAATCAGGTGTCCAGAGGGAAGCCATTAATCAGGTGCCATGTTAGCTTCAAAGCTGAAGGAGGTTCATGAGGGGGTCTGGTTCCCATAAAATTAGAAGAACAGAAAGAACCAAACTAGGATACGGTCAAATGATTGTGTAGATTGTGTTCACTCATGCCTATAGATAGCAGCCATTGTCTCATTTCTGTACCTTAGCTAAGAGCTATTGTCTTGCTTCTGTACCTAGGCTAGCTTGCTTCACAAAGATTGCCAGACAGGATGTAGTTTTTGCCTTTATAAATGCTGCAAAAGGTTAGAGAGGGGCTGCTCTGAGATCCAACGACCTGTTGGTCAGGGCAGTCGCCAGCTGGCTAATAAAGACTCTCCTTTAAAGTCTTTCTTGGGTAGTCGCATCTCATTCCGACTCATAACAATCTTTTCTGGGAATAGGTGATTACCTCATTTCACTCCTTTTATGGTCTGGTGGCGGCTGGGAGGTGTTTTCAGTCTTGAAGTAGAGGGAGATTAGGTAAGTGTAGGTTAAGTTAACCGTGGACTATAGTTCTGGACAAAACATTTCTCCTGTTCATCTCTCTCTCTTTTTTTTTTTTTAGCGATACTGGGGTTTGAACTCAGGGCCTTGTGCTTGCTAGGCTGGCACTCTACCTCTTGAGCCTCTCCACCAGCCTTGGACAAAATGTTTCTCAAATGACCAACGTGTCTACATGCAGACTTGAGTAGAATCTGACCCAAAGGTTAAGTCAGCAAAGGAGACAGACACAAAATGAAGACAGAGCTGCCAAGACTTTTTGTCCTGCTCTGGTCACCCACTGGACGTATATAGGCCCAAGTAAAGAGAGAGTGCTTTTAGCAAAAGCAGACTTTGAGTCCTAGCAAAGTAATCCATAACCCATATGTCAGAGGTGCTGCTTACAGCAAAGCTGGTGGGAGACTGATAGTGTATTGCCCAGCTGTCTGTAAAATTAGTAAAATGTTTTTGTTTTGGCAGTGTTAGTGTTGAACTCCAGGCCTTATTCTTACTAGGCAGACACTCTACCACCTGAGTCACTCTACCAGCCCCATTTTATGTTGGGTATTTTTGAGATAGGGTCTCACAAACTATTTGACCGGGCTGGCTTTGCACCTGGATCCTCCTGATCTCTGACTCCTGAGTAGCTGGAGTTATAAGTGTGAGCAAGTGACACTAGAAGGTTTATTTAGGGCTTTCTTTTCTTTTTTTTTTTGTAACAACTGGCCTCATAGGCTCACAGGGCCTTGGCACTGGAGGTGATAGTGGTAGCTTCTCCAAGCTAGGGTAGGGACTGACAATTTGGATTCCCACTGCTGAGCTGTAGATTCTCCACTTTTTCCAGGAGGTGATAGTTGAGCTCAAAAATACACACTGAAACAGACACCAGTTTGCCCTCCTGCTCACCTATTCATCTATGCATACATCTATCTATTTAATCATTCTTCCTTTCACCCAACATTAAACACACACAGGTTGGGTATCTCTCATACATCTGCACAGTGCAGGGCATGAGAAATATAAAGTTGGGCTGGGTGCTGGTGGCTCACGCCTGTAATCCTAGCTACTCAGGAGGCAGAGGTCAGGAGGATCGAAGTTTGAAGGAAGCCTGGGCAAATAGTCTGTAAGACCCTATCTTGGAAAAAAAAAATTACAAAAAAAGGACTAGTGGGGTGGCTCAAGGTGTAAGCCCCGAGTTCAAACCCCAGTACTGGAAAAAAAAAAAAAACAGAAGAAAGAAATATAAGGTTGAATGAGACCTAGCTCACACCCTCAAGATGCTTACGGTGTAGTTGGGAGACATAGGTTAAAAGAGGGGAAGCACCACAGAGTTTTAGGAATCATTTATGTATCAATTCCTCCATCCAACACAAACTTATTGAGAATCTACACAATGCTGGCATGGTGGCAGATAGCCACGAGCCTTGTCCTCCTGAGTTTATAGTCCAGTGCTGGAGGTAAGGATGGGTGGGGCTCATGTCACCTAGAACATACCTGCAAGGTACCTTGGCAAGCCAGTAGAAGGCTGGAAGAGGCACATCAGCTCGCAACTGCTCCATCTTGGAAGTGACAGACATCACTTTTCCTTCCACTGGCCAGAATTGGTCACATGTCCCTATCCTTACTAAAAGTCACCTGGGAAATGATGGCACATACATGAGCCCAAACTATCTATGGCAAGCAGTGGTCTTGGCACCCAGGATCTGTCGAACAGCCTCTCCCTTGTGGAGTTTGACTAATGAGAGAAATAAGTCAAGAAAAGGAAACAGTAGGAGCTTAATTATTTCCACAGCAGTGCCTGAGAGAGTGTGTGTTGATTCTTATACCCCAGTCACCTGGATTCCCTTTAGATTACTGGTCTTTCCTTATACTACAGAGTTTAACTCTTTAGTTCTCAAAAAAAGCCACACAGTTTTGCTCTCATAAACTCCTTTATTGGCATAAGTGAACAGGAATTGTTTATTGATTGAAATCAAAGAAGTTTAAAGAGACAAAGGTCTAAATCACTTTTGACACACTGAGCCTCAGTGAGGAATTAACAGTTCAAGTGCTGCTTGCGAATCCACACTGCCCTTTCTGAAGCATAGGTCTATTGAGTTCAATAGTGTTCATGCAAATAGCATGTATATATTGCATTTTGTCTATTCTTTAAAAAAAAAAAACTAGTGATACCTGCAATAAGAGACAGATGAAAATCATGAGTGAATTCAAAAGAACTCTTTTGTTACTTTAATGAGTATACACTGAGTCTGAGCCATAAAAAGAAAAATGGAATTAAAGAATGTACATGAAATGTTGGGATCCATGATTGAAGATGGAATCTTCAATCACTATGATTAGTGATATGTTAATTTTTTTTAATTCTGTGGAAATGGCACCTGCTTTATAATTCACTTTGAGGGAAGATTGGAGAAAACAGAGGTGGGCACTGCCTGCACTGGCCATTGACACAGTGGCCATTTCTTGCCATTCTGTTCATTGAAAAGTTTGGACAGTAGGTCAAGATCAACTTCTTGGGCTGCTTTTATGCTGGACCACTTCTTGTGTTTCTGAGCAGCCTGTGTGATATCTGCCATTAAGTCAGGTAACCATGACATTTCTTCAGCTGGGTCAGTGATCCAGGATTATGTGCTCCCCTGACAGTCCATGGTGACATAATGCAGAACCAAAACAAACTGACAAAATCCTAAGTGGGCCATAGGTTCTTTGAGGCTTGCGACTCCAAAAGTCTTCATGGTCCTGTCTCATGACATTCTGTTCTCTGTGGGCTTTTTGGTTTTGTTTCTCTATTGTGTGTACGAATGGGGAGTAAGGTCTATGGGATTGGTTGTTCCAGGAGAGGCACATGGGGGCCTGTTTTTTGGAAGAGTCCTTTTCTCTGGGTGACAGCCTAGAAGATGTGGTCAAAGGGATCTATGTCACATGGGGTGGTGTTCTCTAGAGATTTAGATGGAGACACTGTTCTCGATGAGGGGAGGGTCAAGGTAGGTATAGGGCAGTGCCAGGATCTGGTTTCGCTCCTCAATGTCCCTTGAGATCTGGGCCAGGTGGTTCTGGAAGGAAGCGATGCTCTGCTTCGGGGCCTCCTCCGTGAAGTGTTCATCTGGGTAAGTGCCCAGGGGTCTCTGAGGACCAACCAGAAGATTGGGTAAGTTGGGTGCTGAGATCTTCTGAGCAGCTGCCACCTATTTTAGCCAGCTCTGGCCCCATCCCCTTTCCTGTAGACCTGAAGCAGCCTCCAACTGAGCCTCACCCTGCTCCTCCCCCTAAACTCATCTTCTCCTAGTAAAGATTATCTGCAGAAAGCTCTTGGGAACTTTTAATTTAGAATTTTAAAGGCACACGATTCCATGTTGCCTTTGTAGCTAAGAGCAACTTCCTCTTCATCTCATTGTGAGATGTCCAAGGGTCATGTGTCCCACTGGAAGGTTCAGTGGGGGCAGAGACCTGATGGCAAGGTCAGGAATGGGCCAGGAAGGGAGAAAAATACAGTCTCTCCTGTCCCCACTGGGTTTCACACTCACTCGGTCTCCAGGCTCCTTGCTTAGTAACCAGAGGGCAATGATGACATCACATGTGGCATTGACTGGCGGAAGGGTGGCTATGAAACCCTCAGGCCTTGCCTGGCCTTTGGTAGTGGGTGGTGGCAGCTGCATGGTGGGTGGCAGGTTGGGCATCCAAACACAGGAATCAAACTGAAAGCCAGGAGGGCAGAGTGAGGCCAAGGAGTTGGTCCCTCTGTTCTGCCACCCCCAACACTGACCTTCCCTCACCTGGCTTAAACTGACAGCTGTGTGCTTGGCTGAGCAAGTGAATATCACCATGGTAACAAACTGCACCAGGGCTTTCTGGGTGTCCAATGAGGAAGGCATACCTGCAGGGAGAGCTGAGCTGGGGCCAAGGCTGTATGGGTCCTGAGGACCTTGCAACACTTACCAGAGGGTGAGGCCCAAGGGCAGAGGTCTCCATACCTGAGCTTTCCTGGCCTAAGAAGCCATTGGAAAAGATCTCCTTCACCCAGGCCTGGAGTTCTTGATCATTTTGAACAGACACATTGCTTGGGTAGTAGATGCTGACCATTTCAGAGACAAAGCTGCAAGGTGCACCTGGGTTTAGTTCCCGCCTCCAAACCTGACCCTCTCAGAGACATATCCCAGCCCAGTGTCATTCATGGTGCAGCCCTCCTCCTTGACGTATGGGTGGGGCCCCCCCACTCCTCCTTCCCAGTCTTTTGCCTCCTCTGAGCCCCCGGCTTCCTGGGGATGGTCCCCTTACCGCTCCACTGCCTCCCAAATTTTCATCCCATCATCGCGGAAGTAGTAGCCTGGAATGTCTTCAACTCCTCGGGCCTGGATGTCTTCAGGAAAACACAGGTTAGAATAGTTCAGTTGCTTCATGTTCCTCTTTATCAGCTCAGAGAATCCTTCAATGCCAATGCCTGTGGACTAGAGGACAAGACTGCTGGGTACTAGGATCTTGTTCTAGAAGCAGGAGATAGCTCTGGTGTGGAGGAGATGGAGTCACTTCCACCCCAGTACCCCAAATTCCTCCAACTGAAGAAATGATGCACACTGTCCTTAAGGCAGCTCTTACCCTGTCCACCACCTGCCCGGGGGCGATGAGCAGCTCACGGGCGAGCGTGTTAATATGCAGGGTGTACCGCATGTGTGGAATCAGCAGCTGTAAGGGACAGGAGATGGCAGATCTGGGGAGGCCCACACATGGTCTCACAGAGGCACTCGCACTGTAAGTCACTCAGAAAGAGGCAACAGGGACAAGGGGGGCAGCTGGAGATGGGTCAATACTCCAGGCCCAATGGGGCTGAGTTCCCAGCATCTCATTCTGCATCCTCAGGCAGGTCCCTCCCTCTCTGTGGGCACCAGATTGCTTTGTTAAATGAAGGTGCTGATCCAGATGAATGCTGTGATCTTCTGATTGCTACATCCTGTGATTTCCCATTCCTGAGGCAGGTAGAGCACCATGAAAACCAGGGCCTGCAGGCTTGGCAACATGGAGCCGTCCCCCAGAGCCCACCTCTGAGTGCCAGGCACGAGAGCTGTGGGTGGTCAGAAACAATTAGCCTGACTAAAGAGCACATAGCACAGCCTGCGTCTGGCAGCCCCAGGAGGGAAATCCTGCCCTTCTCACCGGAGATGCCTCAAGTCCATGGGGGGAAATGAATGTGTCATCCAAAGACTTGGCAGGGCCCAGGTGACATACAGAGCCCAACCTAGAGCACTTGGGTCTCCCAGTAAGGGCTCCCCCGCCCTGAAAACGTTTGGGTCCCTCAAAGACATATTCCCTCTTTGGCTTCTGCCAGCCTCCCATCTCTCCTGTCCTAGGACTTGGGCTTCTGTGGTGGTGGCCAATGCCATCTGATCTGCTCTAAGAAGGAAGCCTCTCTGGGACACAGTGTCCACTTCCTCAAGCTTGGGGCCTGCTAAGAAGCCAGCTCCCAGGGGAGTACACAGGGAGATGCTGCAGCTGCAGTTTGGGGGGTCTTCATCCTAGCCTGGAAGGACAAGGCCACCTGGGGAAAAGCCACTCAGAAGAGGCACTCTATAGGCTCAGAGCAGAGTCTGGGCCACCTAACTGAGCCACTGACCTTGAAAAGTGGGTGGCAGTGGGGCAGCTGGCGCAGTGTGGCCAGGGTGAAGACCTCAGGCAGCAGGTGTGCATGCAGCAGGTGAGTGAGGGCCTCATGGACAGAGAATTCAGCATTGCGTACCCAGGTCTTGGCCAGAAGCCAGTCCCACTTGTCATCGCTGGGCAGGAAGATGGGGCTGTTGGGCCCTGGTGTCTGGCTGAGCTGGTGGGGGACAGCAGTGGCGAGGGAGGGTATTGCGAGTGTCAACCATTTTGTGGGTTTCTCCCCACCTATGTCCTGCCCCTGTCCCCTACCCAACTACAGACCTGGATGGCAAGGGGCAGCAGGGGCCCACGCCCTGGGCGCTGGTATAAGAGGGTCATTGGTGCCGCAGAGAACTGAGGCCTCCCATTGATGATATTGGTATGGATGTCAGAGAGAATGCCATGATCCACCAAGAACAGGGAGCCCCTCTGCAGGAGAAAGAGGGAATCTGGGGCTATCACCTGGCTTTCTAAAGGATGAGGGGCAGGTACAGGGAGAGGACTCAGGCCTGGGACAGGCATGTGATTTGGAAGATGGAGTTCTTAGAATATAGCACAAAGTAGGTCCCTCACAAAAGTGAGTGTACCCCTCTCTCTCCAGCAGGGAATGGGCCTGAAGAAAGCATAGCTTAGAGCCTTGCCCCACCTCCAGCTCAGCCTGCAGACTGGTCCCGGGGCCTAGCACTGGGGCCACCATGGCATCGGTGACTGGGAAGTTCTTTGGGAGGGAGCGACAGCGATGGATCATGACAGGATTGAGGCCATTCAGGAACTGGGAGGCGAAGAAGGCATCCTCCTGCCAATGCTTAAACACGTAATCTGCAGAAAGGCAGGGGACATGGGAAACAGTCACCTCAGCTCCAATCAGTCTCTTCCTGACCTTCATGATGGAGTTACCTTCTGGGTCCATCCTGGGTACCCTATACCTTTCTCAGGGTGATCTCTCTTGGCCGCTTGGCTTCAGTCACTGTCCATTTATCAAACAGCAAATCTTAGTCCATAGCCCATCATTCCATACTGTCAACCCCCCTGGATGACCCAATAGCCTCAAATGCAACAGAACAAAGAGCAAGTGTGGGCTCTCCCTCTAGCTCAGGTCCCTCTCACTACCTGGCACCCCAGGGAAAAGCAACTTCATCCATCCCCTTGTCCATGCAGAGTCTGGATTTCTTTTGGTAGCCTCCTCCCATTAAGTCCCATGGATTCCCCATCCTCACTGCCTCCTGGTCCACCCATCCATTCCATTCCTACAGCCACTGGTTTCCTGAGGCAACCATCCTTTGCTGACCACAACCACAGCCTCATGGCTAATCTTCCTGCTTCTATTCTTGCCCCTAATCCCCACAGAGAACGTCTGGCCATATTATTCCCCAGCTGGAATAGCTTCACATTGTGCTAAGTCCTATCATAGCCCACACAGTGCTGTACCACACCCTTAGCGCATCTCCTGCTTCCTTTCTGCCTTTCTTCCCCATTCAATCCTTTTTGGTCACAGCAGTGTTCTTTCTCTCCCCCAAAGGTATGTGATCTTTCCATATCTTTTCTGTCCCCTGAACTTGAAACATTCTCTGTCCTATACCCCATCCTATATTAACAGGCTGTTAAGACCTGTTCGGCCCCCTGTTCGGCCCCCTTGGGAGAGCTTTCCAGGGCTCCCTTCCAGGAAAGAGCCAATGAGCACATCTCACAGGGACACTAATGATCTGATTTTTTTTTTTCCCCAGCACTGGGGATTGAACCTAGGGCCTTGCACATGCTAGGCAAGAGCTCTACTACCAAGCTACATTCTCAGCCCAACTTAATGATCTGATTTTAAGTCTAATTAATAAGCACTAGCCTGATCCACTGTGAGCCTTGTGAGCACAAGGACTGGGTACACAGTCCCAACACAGTATCTGATGGGTAGAAGCTCAAGAAAATGTCTGTTGGATTAGGAGGTCAGGGTTCCCCTCAGTCTACATTCTCTTTTGTCTCTGTAGGGAATGTAAGGCTTAGAAAGGGACAGGAGCCTACCAAGGGTCACACAGTGAACTGGTACTTGACTTTCTCAGACTCCTGACAGCCCTTGGAACTGACACCCTAGGGCAGAGGTCAGGAACCCCAGCCCAAGCTCCTCACCTGATGCCGGAGTCCTGTGGAAGTTGAACATCCTTCTCATCTCCCTCAGACTCCTCCAGAGCCCTTTGCGGTCCAGCAGCCCTTTGAGTTTTAGTTCTATAAACCTGACAGGGGATGTAAGGAGTGGGGAGAGGGCAAGAGGCCCTGGAGACCTTCCCCTCTCAGCCAGCCTTATCCCTCCTGGGGTCCTAAGCCAGATTCCAGGGCCTGATGTAGTCACGATCACTAAGATAGCCAGTGCCCTGCAGGAATTGGTAATGGACTGGAGGCTGTGCCTTGGGTAGGGCTGTGTAAGCCGTATCACTGATGATGAGGGAGGGCAGAAGGCCGGGATGGGAGGTGTCTGAGTCCCAGGGGTAGGACAGGGCAGGCATCCTCACGCAGATCTGACTTTGAGGTGGAATTTGGCATTCTTGACTGCGGAGTATTTGATGTTGAGGTCTAGGTCTTTCACGGTCACCTGGTCGAGGCAGTGAGGCCAACCTTGGATGTAAGTCTTCCATCTGGAAAGCAGAACAGATGATCAACAAGAGGCCTCAGGGAGACTAGAGCAGAGGAGCCTTCTTGGGGACACTGGACAGAGCCAGTCCCCTCGGCCAGCAACCACCTTCCTGGGATCTATCTGCCTTTCCCCTCTACCCACAAGGTTACAAGGGAGCTGCATGTTCCCACAGGGAGACTTCTTGTTCATAACTGATTGGATCAGGATTGAGCTGGGCCGATCAGAGTACTTCCTAGGGAATTTGAGGCTGTGGCTAAGCCAGGCAGGTCCAGGCTTTCTCTGGATATCTGAATTATAGCATGTGAACACAGAGATAAGTTCAATAGCTGTAGCAATTTTCCACTGTGTGGACTGGGAATGCTGATCACAGAAAGAACGAGGGAGAGGGAGAGAAAGAGAGAATGAGAGAGAGAGAGAAAGAGAGAGAGAGAGAGAGAGGAGTGAAGCAGGAGAGAGAAGCACTTGGGAGAGACTCATCTTTGTGTCTGGCCTGAGATCCCAATAAACTTTCTCCCTGTACTTCTGTAAGTACTTGAGTGTCCTGCTGGCAAATTCCCTTTTTATCTGTCTGCTAGTTGGAATGAGTTTTTGGTCATGCAATCATATAATTCCTGACTAACACAGATGCATCTTGCAGAGGAGAAGCAGTCTTGAAGCTGGCGCTACCTCTAAGGTTTTGTTGCTTTGGCAGACATCCCATAGAGAGGCACTCCAGCTTCCTTCCACAGCTTGGGAGAGCTGCAGCAATTTCCTCTCTAAATCCCATAATCCAGCAAGCCACCCAGACAAAGACCTTTGGGTGAAATGGCAAAATTATGTCCCAGCAAGCTGAGGATCCCTAGTTAGTCCTCCTCTCATGTATTCATTCTTTGACTCATTCAAAAATTGCTCCAAGAACTTCAAAGGACAATTTGCAATTAAACCACACTGCCACCAGGTGGTAGCCAAGCCCTATTTCTCAAACTTCAGGGTTTTGGTAAAATGCAGATTCTGATTTAGTAGCTCTGGTGTGGGCTCAAGGGCCTACATTTTCTAACAAGTTCCCAGGTGAGGCTGGTTCCGTGAATCGGAGACCTCATTTTAAGTACTAAGGGCAAGACAGTGAGAACAGAGACTGGAACAACAATCATAGCACACATTCATACAGGGCTTGGTAATTGATTCGTTGCATTCTTAACCATTTTCTCCTTTGTTCTATCTAATAACTCAGATAAGATTGATATCTTTTTTCCTTAGAAAAAAACAAGGATCAAAGAGATCAAATGGCTTGGCTAAGATCTCCCAGCTCCTTTAGACAGGCTCCAGACTGTTCCTGGGTCTCCATCAGCACAGTAGACCTCAACATTTGCTCCCTCTCCTAGTGCTGTTGCTGTGAAATTTTAGCTCAACAGTTTTCTTGGGGGTATAATTCATGACACATGTAGAGTCACCAGAAACTAAATGAGCTTGTGACTGCCTTGTCTCCAGAGGAGTATGCAGCCCAGGCTTTGATAACAGCCAAGATCAAGATCTTTGAAAATCTGCATGTGAATATAGTTCCTGGTTTTCTGCCTCTGGAATCTTCTCCAGTGTCCCTCCCATCACCCCACCCCCTCCCCCATCCCCCTCTCCCCCTTCTGTTTCTACCCTCTGCCAGTGTGGCCTTGTACCAGACCAGCTCTCTCCTCTAACCCCAAATGCTGAGCCCAGAACAAAGAAAGTGTCCCTATCTCACCTTTGTCTTCCCTGGAGGGTGTTTCCTAGGGCTAAGTGGTTTATTTCTGGTTCTGCTCATATTTCTGGGAGGATGCAGCAAGCCCAAGGGCAAGGAAGAAACCCACAAGACATGGCATGTGGAACAGTGGTTTTCAAACTTCAGTGGGTACCAGAGTCATCCAAAAGACTTGTTAAGATAAAACTGTTCACCCCACTCCCACCTCCCCCAAGGTGGAAGTCAGTAGTTGGGAGGGACCTGAGAATCTGCATTTCTAACAGGTGCTTTCTGATGCCAATACTGTGGACTCTCTGTCCGCAGTATTTAGAATCAACTAAAGTTAGGTCTTTTCTGTCAAAGGAGTTAACGCATAGATGCCAGCTAACCTCCCCGAATTGCTGCCTTCGAGCTTTGTGACTCATTGCTTGACCCTGCAAGGTTCTTGCGGTCAAAGAGCTGTTTATCACCAGACAGATGCCCTAATCTCAAACTGCTTGATGAGTAAAAAAAATGTTAGCCCCCCCCATCTTCAGGGACCTTGAGAAATCACTTTTGCACTGAGTTGTAAAAATGTCACTGCATCAAAAAACCTTGCCCTTGCCCCAAACAATAGCTAGTCAACCTGGAAGATTGTGAACCCAAATCTGTCCATCGGTGTGAGGGGCAGAGGGAGATAAAAACTGAGCTGACTCCCCGTTCAGTGTGTTCTGCCTATCAGACTATGGTCAGTGGCTGCCCTTCTGCAGAAATATAACTTTTCTTTGGCCTTGTTGAGCGACTTCCAAGTGTTTCTTTGGTCATCATTTGGGAATGGCATTACTAACACATTAGAGCACATGCAGGAGAGGATCAGGCAGGCGCTTTAGTCCATCATCACCAGCAGCCCCAAGTTGTTCTCATCCCTTAAGGGTCTCCTACCCCAACAGAAGCCCCTCCTCACTTGTACTTCTCCTGTTTGGCCTGCAGTTCCTCTTGGCGCTGCTGCAGGAGTGTGGGGTGGTGGTCTGCCCAGGACACCTTGGCTGTAGGAAGAGAAGGGAAAAAGAGAAAGGAAAAAGAGAAGGGAAATAGAGCAAGGAAAAAGAGAAGGGAAAAAGAGAAAGGGAAAAGGAGATTCCCCTCTCCCCCAGACCTCTGGCCCCAGCTACTCTCCTATTACTGCCACCCCTTTCCAGGCCCCCTTGGAAGAAACCATTACTGGCTGCCACCTTCTCTGCCCATTGCACCACCAGCTGCTCTCCTTTGCCCCCACTTCATGGCCACACCAGATCACCTCCCCACTCCCCTTCTCTTGCTCTTGTGTTCGCCTTGCAATCCCTGTGCTGTCCCCTCACCTGCCCCTTCCCGCAGCACCAGGTCTCCCGCCCCTTCCAGCCACTGGTAGCAGGGGAAGTGGAGCGGGGTGCCCCGCGGTGGCACGAGCTGGAACCAGCGGCAGAACCAGGCGTCCGGGGCCCGGAGCCCGAGCCGGGGAGGCAGGTCTGGCGGCGCCTTGCGCACGCGAAGCAGTAGCACCTGGCCCACATCTTGAGGGAGCGTCACCTCGAAGTCCTCCTCCTAGGGAGTGGGAGTTAGTACTGGACAGGGTCGTCCCTCTGCTCCCTGTCACTAACCCTGCCCACTCTCCCGCGCACTCACAGCACCCGCAGTGAACTCCTTGCCGAGGTGGTCCAGGGGCAGCAAGGGGCTCTCTCCCTTGGTCCCTACGATGCTGACAGACACTTTGTCCCACGTACCAGCCCCGCAGGCCTCTCCTGTGGACACTCTCACCCTGAACTTGGCCATGGTGCCAACCAGAATCTGGCTCTCTACTGGGAGCTGGACTGCAGCGCCGGGAAGCTCATACTCAGGAATGCTCCGCCCCACCCTGGCCAAGCCCCTTTCAGGCAAAACGAGTGATTGCCATTGACTGCCACAGACTCTGAGTTCCCAAAACCCCAGCCCTATTGCCTCCCGGAAGAGTATGCCTGCATTTAGGGCAGGGAGGGGCTGAGTGGAGAGACTGGAAGGTAGGGAGGGCGGTGATCAGTGATCAGTGCTGCGGTGTCCTGACGAGGGATTGAGACCTAGTGGAATGGGGCTGGGGAGTACGATTAAAACCCTCCTTGGGGTCTGGTGGAGTAGCTCAAGTGGTAGGTGTGCTTGCTTAGCAAGCATGAGTTCCTGAGTTCAAGCCCCATTACTTCCAAAAAAAAAAGACCCTCCTTGTTTATGATGCAATGTCTTACTCTTAAAAGCCTATGCAGAACCACCTTCCTGCTCCTACAACTCCTCTTGGAATAGTGCATTATTGGGTTTTCTTCAATGATGAATTGTGAGCACCAACTTTGTGTCAGGGGCTGTTGGATACTGTGAATGCAGGGCCAAGCAAGACCCAATCTTTACCATCATGCAGCTTAAGACCTAAGCATGAGAAAAACATAAGTATTTAAATACTGTACATGCTAGAATTTCAGATAATGATGAGTGTTGAGAAGAAACTCAAATGAGCCTATTTGTGAGGACATGAGAAGTTGGGGTGGGGAAGAAGATCCTTTGAGGCTCAGAGGAGGTGACATGTGAGCTGAGGTCTGAGAAAGGGTAATCTAGGGAAGAGAGTTTGTGTCCATGTAAAGGCCCTGAAGTTAGGAAGAGCCTGGCTCCTTGGAGGAGGGAAAGGCAGAGATGAGGTATACTAGTATGTTTAAGCCACGGCCAAGCAAAGTTGGAGGAAAGAAGAGGATACAAGCTGTGTGTCCTGAGGTCCTCTGAAATCCAAAAGCTTTGCAAAGGAGACAAACAACTATGATCATAACTAAGATTGGTAATATCAAACGCCCAGGATAATCACCTTATAAAGGGAAAAGGTTTTTTGTCATCTCACAGTTCTGGAGGTGAGTCTTTGATCTATTGGCTCCATTGCTTTTTAAGCCATTATGACAGAGCAAAATTGCTCACCTCATGGCCAGGGAGCCAAAAAAAAAGGCAAGACATTGGCTGGAATTCCACAATGGCACATTGTCTTCAAGAGTGTACCCTCAATGATCTAAAGACATTCCTCTCAGCCCCACTTCTCAAAGATTTCACCCCCTTCCAATAGCAACTCCATGAAGACCAAGCCTCCAACATGTGAGCCCCTGGGGGCCCTTTAAGGTCAAAATTTAAGCAGTGAAGTAGGAGAGCCAAGAAAGGGTGGCTCATGAAAGCCGAGAAGAGATTGGGCAATTGTGTTACGTGTTGCTGCGAGGGTGAGCAAGAGGAAGAGGGAGAAATGATTACTGAATCTGTTAACAAGGAAATATGGGAATCTGGGTCACCAATTTATGAGAAGAAATCAGTTGAAGAAATCAACCCATTTCTGAGCAACCCAGCCCAGCCCAGGACAGAATCTCACTGTGGGTCTGGACCAGTTGCCCAGAGCAGTGTGAGGGGCGTGAGGAGGTTGAAGCCAGATTGGAGTGGGTTGAAGGGTTACTCAAGATAGAATCTCTCATTCTCTCTCTCTCTCTCTCTCTCTCTCTCTCTCTCTTCTCTCTCTCTCTCTCTCATATACACATACACACTTTACCTCTGAAACTCCACTAAGGTACCTAAAAGGACAAGAAAATGAGTATGGTGATTATAATGACAAATTTAAAAGACATGAGAAAGATGAAAGTCCAGAAATAGGTCAACTTGCACCTCAAGACCCCTCGAAGTTTTAGGAATTGGAAGACAGTCACCCCTGAGGGTGGTGTGTAGGTGATGCTGAAAACAAGATGTTATCACATGAAAAGTTTTACTGAATGCAGTCAGGACCTCTTCCCACACCCCATCCCTACCTCCATCCCCTCCTGTACCTCTCACAGCCACAACCTCACAAACAATGGAAGATTTATTTTCTCCAGAATTGAACTAGAATGAGTCTCAACTTGGGGACACTAGCCGGACCAGAGGGTGGGATCTGAAACAAAATCAGAGAGTGAGGTGAGAGTTTGCATGTTGAATGGTGAGAGCTCCTACCAAATCCCTACCTTGTATGGACTCTGTTCAAACCCAATCCCTGCAATTCTTTGTGGTATACAGTGGACACTTGGTATCCACAGGTTTATGGTTCCAACCAGCCTGTCTTGCAGAAGAACTTCAATGTTCAGGATGCAGAGTTCAGCACTGTCCTATGGATGCTTGATTTATTTTTTCCCCATCACACTGCCCCACTTCCATTAAAAACATCACTTTTCAATAAATCTCAGATTTTCACTTTATCACTTTCACTAAGCCCTATTGCCTGAATCCCACACTTTGTTCTTTCTTGGCTATTTTATGAGCTTGTCCTTCCAGGGTAAAAGGGAGAAGTTAAGACTTTGTATATCAGGAAACATCTATAACCTACCTATATGCTTGGAACAATAGCTTGGAAATTTGTTCAGAATTTTGAAAGTGCTGCTCCATTGGAAAATCAGGGTTGCCACAAGGAAGCCTGAAATGATCTGTGTTCCTCATTCTTTCTGTTATGTGTCATTGTGAAATGTTGTGGGCTGGTGTTGAGGGTTCTTGCCCTCACAGGCCAGAGAACTGGCTCATGAGGCAGCTAAATGATGAACCAAAACCGGTACACAAAGTAGGATTTATTAGAGAGAAAGGAAAGGCTACAGCTAGAGCAGTGCAGCAGAGCCCAGAAACCAGTAACTCCCTGCTCAGGTGAAGGCTGGGGGTTTTTATGGATGCTTTAGCTCTGGGTTAGGGTAAGGGTTACATGGGTTCTTTCCATTGGCCATGGATTCATGTGCATGGATCCTCTTCAATGAACTGGTCTGTTTGCCCCTTATGGGGGGAACAACCTTGAGAGCATTTTGTTCATCAGCCCTGTGGCAGATTTATGAGACCCTGTATCTCCTCCTCAGAGTGCAGGGCTCATAGTTGCTATCCATGGGGGATGGGCTACTTACTCATCTGTCCTGTAGTTTCCCAGACCAATAAGTCCCCCTTCTGAGACAAGTACCTAACTGCTGTTGGGGAGAGAGGCAATGACTCATCTAGCTGCTTTGTGCTGGCAGTGGGGCAGAGAGTAGGTGTGGTGGTACTTGTCTCAGGGGTTGACCTGTGTAGTCTCCAGATAGAACTGGATGGAGGGCTCATGTGTAAGCATAGGTGAATATTCCTTGACTAAGAGCTAGAATATGATCCGTTGGACCTGTTGAGATATGAATCTGGAGAGAACATATATTATACAAGCCCCAAACAGGAGTATTAGAAGGAGCATAAAAAGGGGGCCAGCCAGAGGTAGTGCCCAAGGAGCCCAGCTCCATATGTTGTTTCAGAAGGACCATGAATTGGCTAGCTCACTGCTGTGAAGGGTTAGTGGGGTCTTCAAAGGCAAACAGGCTGACCGTCAGGGTGTAGAGGAATGCAAAAGAAAGTGTCCTTTAAGTCTAGTAGAGAGTAATATTGGGCTTTTGAGGGTATTTGAGCCAATAGAATATAGGGATTGGGAACAATTGGGTGGAGGGGAATGACTGCTTCATTAATGAGCTGGAGGTCTTGAACAAGTTTTTATTTATCCGGTCCTTTTTAGACAACAAGAATAGGAGAATTGTAGGGGCTGGAGCAACTGATTAGTAGCCCTTATTTTATTAAGGAATTTATGATAAGTAAGAGGCCTCATCATCCCTCAGGCTTGAGGGATACTGTTTTTGATGTGGAAACTGTGAGGGATCTTTGAGTTTTATTTGAATCAGGAGGGCCATTTTGGCTCACCCTACAGTCATTCCATCAGTCCACACTGTGGGATCTATTTGTTCCTGAAGAAGGGGGGCAACAGAGATAGTCCCCTGTGGGGAGCAGAATTTGAGCCTTTAGTTGAGATAGTAAATCTCATCCCAGCAGGGGCACTGGAGTTTCAGGAACTATGAGAAAAGAGTGACAGAAGTGGAGGTATCCCCAAGAGCAGACCGGAGGGCAAGTAAAATAGCACTCTAGGGGTTGGCCAGATAGGCCCCGAATGATAAACTTGTCATTGGACCAAGGACCAGGAGAGAAAGGTAAGACAAAGAAAATGGGCTTCACTGTCTAGGAGGAAGATGACCTTTCACTTGTCTACTATTATGGTTACCCGAGGCTCCTCAACATTGATGTTAAGAAGTGGAGTTGGATAGGAGGCCCTAGGACCCATCAATCCATAGGAGGTGGCACCCTGCCTTCCATCTAGAGACGGGGGCACTTAGACCTCTAATGGTTACTTTTGGAGAGGGTGCAAGGTCCCGGTGAGGGCCAGGGCTGTCTCCCAGGCTGTCCCCCTTTTGGGTATTCCCTATGGAAGTGCCCCTCCTGTTCACAATGGTAGCAAACTCAGGATGTAGGTCCCTGTCAGGTGGGGCACTTCCTGAGGAGCTGCAATTAGGTCATGAGGTTTTTTATCCTTTTCTCTTTTTTTAGTGATGTCCCGGTTATAGTATATAGACATGGCTAGTTGTATAAGTTGATCCAATGATTTTTCCTCTTCAGCCACAGACTTTTGGAATTTTCTATGGATATCTGGGGTTGACTGAGTTAGAAATTTATCTTTGAGGAGAACCTCTCCCACCTGTGACTCGGGGTCCACTGTGGTATGCTTTCATATAGCATCCTTAAGATGTTAAAGATCCCTTAAGTGGTTTTTATCAAGGCTTTGTTGTACTACGGTCACCTGGGAATAGTTTAGAGATTTAACTTTGGCCCTTTTTAGCCCTTCTATTATAAGATGGATGAAGTGATGTTGATGCCACTTATGCACCTCATCATTTTGATCCCAATGTGGATCTGCCAAGGGGACTGCCTGTGCCCCCAGG